CCCCCCCCTTTACGGCACTGTATCTGGATCGCGTTTGACCACCGCGTTGTTCATCAAATTACCATGCGAATGCGATTTGAATACGCGCTAATGCGGCTATTTAGAATGTGAATAACGATCTTCGGGTGAGAGCGGTACTACACGCCCCCGATGCAGGTAAAATAAGGTGACATGGTTTACTTTTTTACCGATTTAACCTAATTTGAAAAATGTTAATACTTCCGACAATGGACGTCTGGAAAAGACGACAGATGATGGATTTAGCGTTTTTTTCTTCATGATTCTTCATAAAGATTTCAGCGAGATATAAACTGAAATAGACGCGAAAAGGAGGGTTAAAAACGAGTAGCAGACGAGCTTCATCATCCTCACTCATTGACTATTTTGTGGGGAAAAAAAAAAGATCCACCCCCACAACCACAAGCGCATGGTGTGACAGAACAGACGCGGCAGGATTGTTATCTGCGGGACTATCCGCTAATGCACTTCCTCTCTGGGAGAATGAGACAATAAGGGTTCTGTTTCAGCTCGCATCCCATCCTATGTGGGCTTTACTTCCAGGGAACCTGCTTTCTATTCAGCCTCTCCAGGTTCAGCCTCACACTCGGGAGGGACTGGCAGAAGGGCTCTACAGGGCTGGCTTTCATGGAGGAGTTTGCAGGGTGTTCCTCTCAGCACCGCTCCCGGTCCCCTGCACATGGTCCTGCCTGTGCTCACCAATAGAGTTTGGAGCGTTCCACCAGGGCATAGGTGTCCCCGTCCCCAATGAAGGCCCGGCAGTTCAGACACGTGAAGCATTCTGGGTGATATTTCTGTTCCCCTGCAACCTGTGGACGGGAAGAGTGCAAGGTGGGGAAAGAGATGTGAGAGGGCGACGACACGTCAATATTCTTGCAAAAAAATAAAAACACCCTTTGAAATTACAACAAGGGGCTTCCCCATGATAAGTGTTTTGAAACCATGAAAACTTTAAGCCCAGGCAAGAAACAGAAAAACTCAGTATGTGGCAACAGAATGTGGAAGTATAAAGGCCATATCCACATCTGAAAGTGAGATCACTGGTCACTACAAACATTAGTATTCCTGGAACCCTGATATTAATTTGTAAACATGTCACAACACTTGAATTTCAGTTTGGCATAGCACAGGATAGCCTGAGCAACACCTGCACTGTGGTTTTAAGATGTATCTACTGTAGATATACACCTCTATGGCTAAACACGCTTCAGCGGCCTGACCAGCAATTTTCCGATTTCTCTGCCGTCCGGCGTAACATTTGCTCCTCTTAGAAGACACTGAAGTGCTACAGGAATGTAAAAACAGACTGGGATGTTTTTATTAAATTTACTATTAGTATTGGGGCTTAAAAAAAAAAAAAATTATGCATTTCTATGGAAACAGATGAGGACAATAGTCACTCTTCCTTGACCCTCACTAGTGAGGCACGTTTTAATTTGCAGATGTATGTCAAACGGCAGCATTGGCCATCGTCGGCATGTCAAACTCCTGAGCCGCTCTGGGCTAAAGTTCATTATACCCTGATTCACGACCCAGGCAAAGCACAGAAGAGCTCTGCTGCGTGTGGGGGGAGGCCAGACTACCCCAAAGATAATGGTGCCCAGGGAAGAAAAAAGGTACCAATTTGGGAGGGCTGGTGCAGTTCCACCCCGTTAAGTGAAGGGCGATTTCACAAGCGTACCCCACCGGCGTGTTCTGCAGAGTACAGCCCTGCAATTAGTGTGCAAAACGCCCGCACAGGCCCAGAGAGCCAGACACAAACACGACCAAGCCCGTGAAGGGCGAGAGCTTCACACACAAGCGCATGGCTGACCTATAATAGCCAGCACTCTCCAATGGACCTGGAGATATTTTACTCACTGCAGACTTTCTCCGGGTCTCAGAGCGACAGGACTGCGGACCCCTTACACAAATACCATGCAAATGACCTTAGCAAGGCAAGACAGGTGGCTTTTCATTCCAAAACCTGATGGGTGTGGTTTTGTTTTGGAGCTGATTTGGGGCAAGTGGGTTGGCTGTGAAAACCGACACTGATGCATCTAAGCTGCCAAGACGTCAGCTGGGGGTTTTCACACACCAACATATAAAAGGAAACCCACCAACATCAAAGCCCCCCCCGCCCCTGCCGACATCACGGACGACGTAGACATTCCATTCTATCGGAATGGAAGCACAAGCACACCATCCTCAACAACAACCGGCACATTAAATTATTATCAATTAGCATTTTGGGGGGGCGGGGGAAACGGGATGAAAAAGTTTTTGAGTTACCACGAGGAGTGATGACAGAATCTGCGACTGATACTGCTGTTGGGGAAAAAAATGTGGAGAAGTGTTACCGTGGTGACTATGCTGCATCACTTACAGGAGTTCGTTCAACCCCCAGATACTCATAAGGCAGCAAAAACCCAGAGAAGCCGACAACCTGCATGAACACGACCACGCTGTCACGGCAGGTACCGAAACCCAGGGGCATTTACCGTCAACCGTCTCAGCCCAACAGATTAGGCGGGATGCTACTAGCAGTGTTAACTTATAAGTCTTTTAGATTATTAGCAGGGACGCGGATACCGTAGCAGAGTCAGGGGGCCCCTCACTTCACAGGGGCCTTTGAACACGTAAAATTGTATGTAATATTGGGCAGATGGGGCCAATACTGACATTTTGTCAAGGGGGCCAGAATTTTACATACAAATTTCTAGGTACCCCTGAGTAGGGAAGGACAGCAAGAGTGTCTGTATAATTCACCCTAACAACGTTATAGTCCTTTCCTGTTATGTCGCTTTTTATGTTTCTTTTTTTTTATTATTATGACGTAAAGCCCTTTGTGCCACTTATCCAAATAATGTTACTATTATTACTGCGACTAACCCTGACAGTTTGTGTTCGGTCACATTTCAGTTTCCAATCATCGATCCATCGATTTCACATTATTTTGGAGAACACCGCTACATCCGGTCCCCCTTTCCTTGGGGGGAGCTTACATTTCATGTAACCCGGGGATACCGGATACACTCGGGTTCGGATGGAGAGAGGGGCTTTCCGGAAGACTGCGGACTGGGAGTCGGGAAACAGATAGGTGTCTCATAAGAGCACCGTGAATGTTTGTACATGTATCAACCGGAACACAAGGAGAAACAACTAGTACAAAAATGTAACAAATGTACATTATAACAGAAGTTTAGGTTAAAAAACTGAGATGTGCTCAAAATTCAGGACAGCACATTTCAGATATAATGAAAGTACGAACAGGACAGTTATGTATTAGAATTAGGAACTAAATCCTAAAATTAGCTGTAGTTTGTGGTGTGAAGTGTGTTAGAAAGCCAAGGTAAGAGTGGAAATGATGAACCTGTCAGCTGGATCTCCTTGAGGATCACCTGGTCACCACAGCCTGGCCTAAACAAGTCTGTTTATTACGTAAAGAAACACCGGCACCCAAACTAGAGTGAGTCAGAGACGTGATAAGCTCTGGCTCTCTAGCTTACTGGTTATCCTGGGGAACGTGATCAAACATGCCCCGCAAACAAACAGATTATGACTGAGCCCCATCCGTCATTTTCCATGGCTCACTGATGCCACCGTTTTGGAATTCTGCTTATGAGCAAAAACATCACATGCGCCACAACAGATAGGCGGTGACCTCCCCCCCCCCCCCCCGGACAGAGCAGACCCATGACGGTGCATTGAAAAAGGCGCAGATAAGCTGACGAGGTTTAACAAAGCCTCAGACCCCTACCCGTGTGCCCCCCCCACCCCCAGCCCAGATCTCCCACCTTAAAGCGAGCAGGACCCAGCACAGCCCTCGCCGAAGGGACCTTCATCCCTCATAACCCACACAGAAAACCTTCAGCTAGCTGAGGAGAACAGAGGACTGTGTGACACTCAGAGGCTGATGCCTTCAGGGTCTATTACACACCGGATACGTGTTCAGCACCCCAGTCCTCTACCTTAACGCGGTGACATCATCATCCCGCAGGCCAGCTTTGGGCCCCAAAGGACGACTTGGCAAATCACCAGCAGAGTCTTGCTCATCAAGCGTCAAAACGCATGCGAGACCAAGGCCATCTTCTCCTCACTACCGCACACACATACACGAGCGCAGGCTACTGGTCCCCGTGGCGACGGTGAGGACAGCCGCAGCCCCCACCCCAGGAAAGCCATCTTACCTTCTTGTCTTTCCTCCACAGCCTAAGACAACAGGAGCCCCAGAGGAAGAGGTCCCCCACCATGGCGTCCCGACCGCGGCGTCCTGGCCGCTACACCCAGAGTGAGAGACCGAGACAGCAGCGCACTGTCAAAACAAAAACGGCCGAGCGAGGTAGCAGAAGGGAGCAGCCCACGCTGCCGACGATGAGGTCATCTCTGAAGCTGCGCCACACCCCCTCCCCCTCCTTTCTCCATCTCTCTCACTCGCTCGCCCGCTCGCTCTCTTCCGGCCCAGCCCACACAGACGCTTGCTGGCTGTTTCCCCGGACTCTTCATAACCCCCACCCCCCTGCCACACACACACACACACACACACACACACACACACACCCACATACACACACACACCCACATACACAC